CATTGTTGTTTTGGCGGGTCCGGGCTGGGGATTCGAACCCGCCACCTTAGGTGTACGTGGCTGGCGCCTTAGCTGGTTGAGCTATAGGCGCCGAGCCCATTTGGTCTATTTCTAATGTTCTTGTTTGTTTGTATTTGGTTGCCGTAACCAAGTACCACAGACTAAGTGGCTTAAATAACAGAAATGTGTCTTTTGTAGTTTTGGAGGTGTTAAATTCAAGATCTGGGGGTTACCAGAGGGTGGGTTGTTTCTTAAACCTCTTTCCTTAGCTTGCAGATGGCCACCCTCTTGCTGCCTCTTCATAGGATCTTTTTCTTTTCTCTGGGCTTGGCATCCTTGGTGTCTCATCCCTTATAAGGACACAGTCTGACTGGAGTTGGACCCACTCAAATACCTTCACTTTAAGTTAATCACCTTTAAAGACCTTATCTTCAAATAATGCTGCATTCTGAAATATTGGGTGTTATGACTTTAATATATGAATTTAAGTTGGGGGCATACATAATTCAGCCTATAACCTTATTACGCAGGAAAGGAAGATGGAATGAAAATCAGATGGAATGTTTAAAATGAGTGGAATGGAACTTTGAAATATCACTCTTTACCTTTTTTCAAATCATGAATTAACTCCTGTCATTAGCTATTTATACTTTATTCATTAAGAGCTAGAATTGTGGCCCAGCGAGTGGCTCACACGTGCAATCCTAGCACTCTGGGAGGCTGAGTTGGGTGGATTGCCTGAGATCATGAGTTCCGGACCAGCCTGAGCCAGAGTGAGACCTCATCTCTAAAAATAGGTGGACGTTGTGGCCAGGTACCTATAGTCCCAACTACTTGGGAGGCTGAGGCAAGAGGATTGCTTGAGCCAAAGAGTTTGAGGTTGCTGTGAGCTATGATGCCCTGGCACTCTACTGAGGGCGACAGAGTGAGACTCTGTCTCAAAAAGAAAAAAAAAAAACTGGCTTGGCGCCTGTAGCTCAGCGGTTAGGGTGCCAGCCACATACCACTGGAGCTGGTGGGTTCGAATCCACCCCGGGCCTGCCAATCAACAGTGACAACTGGCTCAGCGCCTATAGCTCAACCGGCTAAGGCGCCAGCCACGTACACCTAAGGTGATGGGTTCGAATTCAGCCTGGGCCCACCAAACAACAATAACAGCTGCAACCAAAAAAAAAAAAAAATAGCTGGGCGTTGTGGCGGGCGCCTGTGGTCCCAGCTACTTGGAAGGCGGAAGCAGGAGACTCGCTTGAGCCTAGGAGTTGGAGGTTGCTGTGAGCGTGATGCCATGGCACTCTACCCAGGGGGACAGCTTAAGGCTCTGTCTCCAAAAAAAAAAAAAAAAACAGTGACAACTACAACCAAAAAATAGCTGGGCGTCATGGTGGGTGCCTATAGTCCCAGCTACCTGGGAGGCTGAGGCAAGAGAATTGTTTAAGCCCAAGAGTTTGAGGTTGCTGTCAGATATAACACCATGGCACTCTACCAAGGGCGACAAAATGAGACACTGTTCCAAAAAAAACCAAAATAAAACTAGATTTATATTAAAATTTGTAAATACATTGCAGAAGCAAATAGGTGATTTTTTTTGGTTTGTCTCTATAGACATAAATTTAAGTATATAACTTTCACTTTTTCATATAGTACTTTTTAAATTTTATTTTTTATTTTTAAATTTTTTGGGGGGATACTCCATGACCGTGCGGCAGCCTTTTAGTTCTCAGCAACCTCAAACTCCGGTGTTCAAGTGATCCTATTGCCTTAGCCTCCCCAGTGGCTGAGACTATCGATGCTGACCATAATGCCCAGATGGTTTTTATATTTTTAGTAGAGATAGGAGTCTTGCTTATGGGATCCACTCTGCTTAGCCCCCCCAGAGTGCTAGGATTACAGGCCTGAGCCACCATTCTGGGCCTACTTTTTATTTTATTTATTATTATTTTTTAAATCAGTGAACTGATTATGCATTCTTTTTTTTTTTTTTTTTTGGCATTACAAATTTTATTTATTTATTTATTTATTTATTTGCAGTTTTTGGCCAGGGCCAGGTTTGAACCTGTTGCCTCTGGTATATGGGACCGGTACCCTACTCCTTGAGCCACAGGTGCCACCCTACCTTTTTATTTTAAATGATAAACTTTTTTTTTTTTTTTTTTGGAAACAGTCTCAAGCTGTTGCCTTGGATAAGTGCTATGGTGTCACAGCTCACAGCACCTTCCATCTCAGGCTCAAGCGATAGCCTCAGTCCTTCTATTTTTATTAGAGGCGGGATCTTGCTTTTGCTCAGGCTGATCTTGAACTCAAGAACTCAAGCAATCCACCTGCTTTGTGTTCCCAAAGTGGTGGGATTACAGGCATGACCCACTTCACCAGGCCTCAGATGATAAACTTTTAATTTTTTTTCTTATTTTAAATTCTCTGGAGCTTTTAGTGAAATTTTTTTTAAATTTACAAAACTATTTTTTCACTTTGAGTTACTAGACCTGAAATTTTTTCAACAAAAAGTTGTTGGAAAAATATTTCTCAGCACATTTTAGTATTTAACTTGCTAAAAGAGATAATATAAAATTTCTTTATAAATTCTAAAATACTTTCAGTTTTCATTTTTCACTTTTCACAAGACTTTTAAATGTAATGCAGATAGAGAAATAGAATTCCTAAATGTCTGAATTTTTGTGATGTGTGGTATATTTTGATAAGGTACACTTTTTTTTTGGAGTAGGGTCGGGACATAAGGTCTCATTTTGTTGCCATCACAACTTACTGCAACTTCAGTCTTCTGGCCTCCAGTGGTACTCCTGCTTCGGCCTCCCAAAGTGAAAAGGTTACAGGCATGAGCTACTACACACAGCCTGACAGTCTTAAAACTTAATTGCTTCATGAATGGTTTTTTTTTTCCTTCCATGTTCCCGCATTCACAATACAGGCTAGGCATGGGGTGTGGGTGGGGGTGTACATAGGGTAGGTTTACTCTGCTGCCTCTTTCTATACAGTCAGTGTAAGAACACAGCCTGGTAAGCACCAGGTCTTTATTAATATTTTATTGGACTTTATCTCAGGTTTTTCAGATTGTATCAGGGATTCTCTCTTGTAACCTTTATGATCATTTTCATGTCCATTGTGAGTTGTTGTTGTTGTTATTTTGGAGTCAGTCTCACTCTGTTGTCCCAGGCTAGAGTAACAGGGCCTCACCCTAGTCACAGTAACCTCAAACTCTTGGGTTCAAGGGATCCTTCTGCCTCAGCCTCCCCAGTAGTTGGGATGACAGGCACCCCACCATGACACTTTGCTAATTTTTCTGTTTTTAGTAGAGACAGGATCTTGTTCTTGTTCAGACTGGTCTTGAACTCCTGAGCTAGGTAGTCTACCCACCCCAGCTTCCTATAATGTGTACAGTAATATTCTTGATCATTTGTTAAAATTTAACTTTGGGGTTATTATGTAGTTGTAAATATAAAGCCTTATGCTAATTTGTTATTTGTAAACTTAGATATTTTCATGTTTAGAAATTCTGATTTAGGAAGATTGACAAATAGCCTAAGCTCTTATGGAAATGAGAACAGTTACCCTGTTGACTTTTGCCTTATTTTAAAAAAATTATGACTTTAATATGTTTAGATTCTGGTCTGGTCTGATCCCCAAACCTTTATTGACACTGTTGAGACAGCTTCTGGAACAATTAAAGTCAAAATGGAGAAGAGTAGTTTCTAAAGTATTTTGAAAACTTGTGATGATTGTTATTATAAAAAAAATTTTATTATGGAAATTTTCATATATTAAGTACAGAGAAGAGTATACATTTCTTTGTACCAATATGCAGCCTCAGCATTTACAAACATAGGGACAACCTTGTTTCAAATATAACCTATCAACATTCCCTGGTACTTTTTTTTTTTTCTTTTTGAGACAGAGTCTCACTGTGTCGGCCTTGGTAGGCGTCACAGCCACAACAACCTCAGACTCCTAGGCTTAAGCAACTCTCTTGCCTCACCCTCCCGAGTAGCTGGGACTACAGGTGCTCACCATAACGCCCGGCTAGTTTTTGGTTGCAGTTGTTATTGTTGTTTAGTAGGCCCTGGCCAGGCTTGATCCCACCAGCTTCAGATGTGGCTGGTGCCCTAGTCACTGAGCCATGGGTGCCCATCCCCTGGTACATTTTAAAACAGAGTCCAGATTTGTCTTTCTTTTAAAGCATCATAATTGCCATACCATTATCACATCTACAATGATTATTCTTTAATGCCATTTAATAAAGTATCCAGCTTTTATGTTCACATTTTTGCTTTTTCATACTTTTTTAGGTTGATTTAAGTAGGGAACCATACTTAGGTCCACACATGTGTTTGATGGATTATCAGTTGCCGTTATTTGTTGGAGAAACCAGACTATATGATTTGGAATAGCCTATAATCTGAATTTGGTAGATTACTTCTCCTACTTGTGCTTTAACTTTTTCCTCTAACTTGAATTTTCTACCATTGGTAGTTAGATCAGATTTCAAATTCCATTTTGGGTCAGGGAAGAATACATCATAAATGTACTCTGTACTTTTTATGAAAAATAATCAACTTTAAGTTATAATTTGAGTTTTACAGATGTGAACAATTGTATAACCACCACAATTACAAAAAATACCCAGTTAGCCAGAAAATTCCTTTTTGCCTCTTGTCGTCATCACCTTCCCCCGATGATCAATTTTTTTTCACTGTAGTTTTGCCTTTTCTAGATTTTTCCTTATAAATGGAGTCTTATAGTAGTAAGTTAATTGTACTTTAAAGGAGATCATTTTTGGCCAGGAGCTACAGGTCTAATTCCTTCCATTTTTATATGACAGGGACTTGCCATGAGGTGTTGAAGCCTTGTTTCACTGAGTTGGAGAGACTGGACCTAAATGGCGCAGCATGACTTTGCTCCAGCCTGGCTTAATTTTCCTACTCCACCATCATCAACAAAGGTACTCTTTCCTGCATCTCTCTTTTTGTCTGCCTCTCTTTCATTCATGTTCTACACAAATGAAATTAAAATGTGAAGGCTTAGTATCTTTGCAGAGAAGTACATTTATATTAAGTTATTTCATGTTGAATTGGTTTTATTCAGTCAGTTTTCAATATATCATCGACATGCGAAACCATTTACTTTCAAGTTGTCCTTTGGATCAGTGTTCCACAAATTTTAATTCATACCAGATACTTGGAACATTATACATACTACCTTTTTCTATATATTTTTTTACTGTTCTTAGATTGATTGCCTTTTTAAGTAATCATGCTGTCCAACATACATGGTGTACTTTAGTTGCAAAGTGCTTTGCCAGACATTATCTAATTTGAGCATAATTTCAAGAACGTGGTGATTTAGAATTATTCTTCATCCTTGGAATGTTCATTTTAAATATTGACCTCCTTTATCTATTTGGGCAAGTGAAATGGTTGAGTTAGAGAGAGTAAAGAGGTGTGCACAGGGAGGGATGGAGGTGATTTTATCAGGGCTTTATGTATTTGTCTCTGATTTTTTCATAAAGCTGTCTGCCTCTTTTGATAGGCTACCCCAGGTGTTAAGCTCCCGAAATTGCCAACTGATGGCTGTATTGTTTTCAGCAATGTTCCAGGGCATAAACTGCTCTGTGCTCAAATTCAATAGAAGTAGAGTAGGCCTGGGTTTGGGGCCAGTCTTCTGAGGTTTGTCTGACCCCATTAGGGCTCCTTTTAGCTCTTTTCCTAGTTCTTTCTGAATTAGTTGGCCATGTTCAGCTTATCGCTCTTCATTGAAAGGAGATAACAGGCTCCTTCTGTTTTTTTACCATCAGAATCCCCATTGTTTCTGAAAACTTCCTTAGCCTTGACTTTTTCCACCTTGTTTTAAGTAGTCATTTCCTTTGAGGTCTATTTTTCACACTGGTCAAAATCTCAGTACCACTATTCCAAAGCACAGCTTGCCTCTTTGTGTGGAACTTCTGTCCTGTCTAGGCCTTTTTTCCCAGTGTTGTAACTAGAGCAAGGGCAGCTGGAGCCTATTTGTCCTTTGAATCTGGTATAGAGTGCTCTCTTGTGAGTGTGAGATGGGCAAAGGAAAGGAACCCTAATTTCTTGACTGCACTCCTCATAAATTTAACTCTTCATTTGAGATTTGAGGGGATGAGAAATGCTGAGAGCCTGCCCTTTTGAATATGCTTTACGGATTGTTTAGGAACTGAAAGGAGGGAAACCTGTCGTCTTGACTGAGTGGATTGTACCACAGGACTCTCCAAGTTCTGAATTTTAGTATTTCTAAGCAAGCAATAGTAAAAACGATTAAAACCAAACGTAAATGACATACCACGTGAGCTGGCCAATACAGATCCTAAAGTGTGGGCAGATGGGGTAAAAATATGGCAAAAAATATGAAACCTGCCAGGTGCAGTGACTTATGCCTGTAATCCTAGCACTCTGGAAGACCCAGGTGGGTGGATTGCTTGAGTTCAGGGCAGGAGTTTGAGACCCGCCTGAGCAAGAGCTAGACCCCATCTCTAAAAATAGCCAGGCATTGTGGCAGCTTCTTGTAGTCCCAGCTACTTGGGAGGCCGAGGCAAGAGAATCACTTGAGCCCAAGAGTTTGAGGTTGTTGTGAGCTATGATGCCATGATACTCAACCCCAGGGCGACTGAGTGAGACTCTTATTTCCAAAAAAACAAACAAAAAACCCCCCAAAAGTCTATGTCAGGTCCGGGGTGGGATTTCCTCAAGAGGGCAGAATATATAGCTGCTTACCCCAGAGGGTTAGGGGTTTAGCTCCAATTACATAACTAAAAAATAACAGAATGCTAGTGATGTACTCTTCTCCTTATAACACTCCATTCTCACTATACAAATGTCAAACTGAGGTTAATCCAGATCAAAGGGCAGTAAATGAAATAATGGTTCCTTTGCATCCAGTGCCCACAACAACCCTTACACTCTCATACCTTAGATTCCTCCTGAAGCACAATATTACTCAGCTTTAGATTTGAACGATGCCGTCTTTACTGTTCATTTTCACCTGGAGTCTGGACAGATCCTGACACCAGGCATTATACCCATTTAATGTAGGGACTGTACTACCCCAGGGATTCTGAGACAGTCCTGGAATTTTTGGGACTGCTCTGCATAAACTTCTCAGAGAGCTGAACATGGCATCTCTGAGTGTCTTTATTTAGTATGTAGATGACTTATTAATCTGTGGCCCTTCATATAAATCTTAAGTTGAGGATACATTTCCTTGAGGAAAGATTTAAGGCGTCAAAAGAAAAGGCTTAAATGTACAAACTTGAGGTTACTTACTTGGGCTTGTCCTTTTTCCCTGATGAGAAGAGGCTTTCACGTGAGAGAGTTAAGACAATTTGTTTCCTCACTAGCCCCTCTATAAAAGAAAGAAAAAAAATGCTTAAGAGAGTTTCTGGGAATGACAGAATACTGTCAGATATGGGTTTCTTGATACATAGAGTTTGCTAAGACCTTATATGATGCTTTGAAGAGGGAAGATGTGGAAGAACTGAAGAAAGAGAAATGGCTTTTCAGACCTTAAAACAAACCCTTTTGAGTATACTTGATCTAAGACACTGAACTTCTGCAGGTTACTTTTGCTTTCTGTTTATGCTGCCTGTGCTGCTCCAGTTTTATTTTTAGTTTCCACTCACTTTTGCTTTCGATTACCACCGTGCCTTGGTTGAACTTTGTAGCTCAGCCAAGTAATGGAACCAGGTCAACTGGGTTTGGGGAACAGGGACACCCTCCCTTTCTGTGCAAACAATTGGATAGTCTTTGACAATTATCCTAAGAGCACATAGGAAATGAAGAAACAGTTTCTCAAGAAAACCAACTAAAACTTGGTAAGAATTTTTTTTTTTTTTGAGACAGAGTCTAACTACGTATGTTGCCCTCAGTAGAGTACTGTGGTGTCACAGCTCACAGCAACCTCAAACTCTTGGGCTCAAGCAATTCTCTTGCCTCAGCCTCCTAAGTAGCTGGGAGTACAGGTGCCAGCCACAATGCCTGGCTATTTTTTTGTTGCAGTT